CGACAATGCTTGATGGGATATAGATGAGTAGACTTTTCAGAAGGGGTGGGTGCGTCCTAATGTCTCAGGGTATTCGCATATGTGAAAAACAGAAGAAACAGGGGCAGCCAGTAGTGCAATATGTCTAAAATCCAAAGGGAAAAATAGTATGTATTATGTATATTATGTATATTAATTGGGTCCACGATCTGGCCCACGTTTTACCACATCCTCAGATACTAGTTAGTTAGAGCATCTCAAGCCACTTGGCAACTAGCAGGGCCTCACCTGTCACCCTTTTAGTGGAATTTTTCCATGTTTGGCAATAGCTAGCCTGCCAGTACCAGTTTGGTTTTACACTAATGGTAAGTTTATATTTCAGTATGTCTCAGGTTCCCAAATATAGGGATGTGTATTGCTCTGTCTATGCCAAGAAATTAGAGGAACTGGATGTGTATATGCACAAGCTGGGGATCTGTGGCACAAGTGCGGTGGTATGGCATTCTATGATTACCACTGTTCTTTTTCATCAAAAGTGGCTGCAACTCTGACTCAGTTTAACTTCAGTATGCATTGGAGTAGACTAGATACAGAGTTATTCTGCAGACACTTTTCAGGCCTCAGGCTTGTGCAGTTTGCACATCCACGCCACACTCGACGAATTTGCGCCCTAACATGGCAGAAGTCTCTCTGGGCTACGCGGTTCCTTACACACTTGCAAAATCTGGTTAGGTAGTTAAGGATAAGCTGGGTAGGGACATTGTTTTTTTTGGGCAAGTCCCAAATGTGCAATCATTTTAAGGTGAGTACTTGCGGTTTCTGTGCTTGCAGTTTATTGCACGTTTGTTCCTACTGCTTCTGTACTCATGCCAAGTCTAGGTGCCCAAATACAATGTTCCCTAAAACCTACATTAAAGGTATTAATGTTATGTGTTTAGCTGAACTATTTATGGTACCAACCCTCGCAACAATTGGTTAACGTTCTCTTTGAGTGGTTATTGCAGGGGTTTCACGATAGTATCATACACTTGCCATCTGATATACTGGAATGCAATAATTTGCAAGCAGCGTTAGCAGATCCAGAATCAGTGGATAATTTATAAAGACTAAGTTGGAACAGGGAATTGTTTTCGGGCCTTTTAGGTCTCCTCCTTTTACTTATTTGGGGGACAAATCCTATTGGTATAGTCACTGGTAAATCTTCACATAATCACAGATTGATCGTTGACCTATCAGCTCCACATTCCTCCACGGTTCCTCTGAAGGTTTCTTCTTGCAATGTTCCACCATGGACAATGCCATCTGTGCCATTCTTGAAACTGGGGCGGGCGCATGGCTCAATAAATCTGATATTGTTATATGCGTTCAAACTATTTGCTATTCACCCCTCACTGTGGCATCTGCATGGCATTAAGTGGCAGAGTTTATATTATCTTCTCCCAGCATACGTTCAGTTCCAAGGTAGCCCCAAGATATTTGATATTTTGCGGAAACCTTGTGCTGGTTGCTACTTGATGTGTGCAGATGCCCGACTGTTACACACTATTTAGACGATTTCCACATAACTGAAGACAACTTCCAATCCCCTCTCTGTCTCACAGTAGCAATCGGTCTTTTTTAATCCCTAGGTATACCGATCTCCCCTAAAAAGACAGAAGGTCCAGACATGGTTATACGTTTTCTAGGTATTCAACTAGACTTGGTAAACAAGTCCCCGACACTCTAGACTGATGCTGCGGCTAATTCGGGTTTCACAGACATCTGTGGCAAGTAATTGCTCTGGGGTCCTGGAACTAATGAAGTTAAGTCCCTAACAAGTTTTCCAAAACATCGGCCTTATTCGAGCCTTACCCAATAGTGGTGGCAGCAATTGCCTGGGGTCCTGGCTGGGCAGGTCACTCGGTCAGATGCTTCTCAGACAACCTAGCTGTCTGCCACATGATAAACAAAGACCGGCATCATTTTGGTTGTTATGAGGTTTTGAGGAGACTCACTTGGGTGGCGGCCAATTATCAGTTTTCCTCACATATTTTCACATCCCTGGAGTCACTAAGGTATCGGCTGATCACCTGTCTCGTCTCCACTTGTGGGTATTTCACGATACTCTGCCCACCGCTTCCCATCTGGCTACTCCTGCCTATCCATTCAGAGACATATTAATGAGTTAAATGTTTTATTATCACATGCACTGAATCTTACCCACCTAGCACTCGTGGTTAACACTAGGAAATCATACAATAGGGCATTTCATCAAATTCATAGCCAATTTTTCAAATTCATGACATGTTTGATACGGAGTATTTACATCCTTTTGCCTTGCCATCTTAAGTTAAAAATTATCATTTAAAGGAACACTATAGTCACCTAAATTACTTTAGCTAAATAAAGCAGTTTAGTGTGTATATCACTGCCCTACAATTTCACACTCTATTCACTGCCATTTAGGAGTTAAATCACTTTGTTTCTGTTTATGCAGCCCTAGCCACACCTCCCCTGGCTATGATTGACAGAGCCTGCATGAAAAAAACCTAGTTTCACTTTCAAACAGATGTAATTTACCTTAAATAATTGTATCTCAATCTCTAAATTGAACTTTAATCACATACAGGAGGCTCTTGCAGGGTCTAGCAATCTATTAACATAGCAGGGGATAAGAAAATCTTAATTAAACAGAACTTGCAATAAAGAAAGCCTAAATAGGGCTCTCTTTACAGGAAGTGTTTATGGAAGGCTGTGCAAGTCACATGCAGGGAGGTGTGACTAGGGTTCATAAACAAAGGGATTTAACTCCTAAATGGCAGAGGATTGAGCAGTGAGGCTACAGGGGCATGTTCTATACACCAAAACTGCTTCATTAAGCTAAAGTTATTCAGGTGACTATAGTGTCCCTTTAACACTATCAAACTCTACCTAACATTCAACATCACATGCTGATACAACACCCTCACTAAACAGGAGTCCTATCATCCCACCAAATTAAAACTTACTGAAAAATCTGACACATTACCCTCTAAGAGACTATCCATTCCATAGCAAACTTTTCCAATCACAATCTGATTCATTAGTCATGTCACCAATATGGTAATTAAAACCGCCATATACCTAGCTTTTCACGGATTCCTATGACCAAGAGAGTTCACCACTATTTAATATACTTCCACAGATTACCTTTAAACTTTAAATATCCATAAATCTATAGATCACTAAATCCTTTCACTTCCCCACTCTAAACCAGCCAGATGGGACGCCAGGTCAACATAACCTTCTACCCTATCTATAACAAATGGTGCCCAGTTAAGGTTTTGGATAAATATTTCAGCACCATTCACAAACAACCATACCAACCAATACTAGAATTGCACGGTTCCACACTCACTACTGCCAAATTTATGCTTTATGTTCGTGTGCTTTTGACAAGACTTGGCCTTAATCAAACTCACTACTCAGGCCACTCTTTCCGCGTAGGGGCATCCTCCCACCACTTTCCAGCACATATCATCAAGGCAATGGGACACTGGAAATCATCCATTTATACATTATATATCCATGAACTGTTTGAAGGGATTAGTCAGGCATTTCGTTACTGATCCAAGTAATTTTTAGGTATTGTAGAATGAATACATTTTGTATGGTACACTTCTTTTTGCCCTCTTTATTACAAGCCTACTGCATTGTTGGGTCTGGCACCCCAAAACCGACTGGTGTTATTGTGAGGTTTATTACTAATTATGCGTTATCTAACCATTACGGCAATATTGTCCCGACCACAAATATATATACACACTAACACACAGGCACACACAGGTATACACACATAGACACACGTGAATCTCCCTGCTCTAACCTCCTCCATCCAACGTCACAGCAGCCCTCTCACGGTCCAATCACAGACATCTCATAGAGAAGCCTTTCTAACAGCTAGATCTCTTTTCTGCCTGTACCTCATTGTAACATACCTAGGCAGTATGAGTCCGTAACTTTGTTATTTTGCAAATCATGTTTAGTAAGTAACCAACTTGTAGATTCTACCCCAAGATACATCCATTTTAGTTGAAAAGCTGGTGCACATTGACTTCAGGGACATTCTAAGCACCACAGTCACTATAGCATGCTGTATTTGGTATGGTAATGCGGAAGTATGACAACTTCCCTTTGGGTCATGCTGTAGCTGTAATGGCATTTGGAGTATCCTTACAAAAGGAACAATTATGATGTCAGGAGTGCCCTCCATTGTACGGAGTCAAACTGTTTTAGAACGGTTTGAATTCTTACCTTTGGTCTGCAGAGCACTACTTTCGTAAGAGGCGAAAACTCTTTCTGAGCTAAGCTCATTGGCTAAACCTGGTTAGTTGAGGAGAGCTAACAGAAAATACTGCTTATGAGATATTGCTTTCCATAGGACATCGTGGAGGTAACAAGTAAAACAATTCTAAAGGTGGTTTACTACTTACAGTGGGGGATTCCAAAGCACTCCTTAGCACTACTAAAGCGGCATGTGGTGATTATGTTGCTTGTAGTGTTTCTTTAATGAATAGTGACGTGTCAGATACTTTTTATCTGCTGTTCTAACACTACTCATGCAACTTAGAGATTCATCAAAAAGTAGTGTATATCACCTAATGAAAGCTTGTCATTTATGTATCTTAAACAATAATTGTGTATTTAAAAAGACTTGAGACAGAATCATAAAAAATAATTTAAAATGTATAATTTATAATAATAATTTTCAGAAAAAACAAAACACAACATAAAAAACAACTCAAGGGAGAGCCACAAATGGAGTTTATTATTAACAGCATGAAATCCATAATTTAGTCCCATTCCCCATTGTATTTAAGTATCACATTCACACATCGAGTTTAAATGTTAAGATAAGGCAAGGAAAGAGAGAAACCATGTAATTAATAACCATAATTAAAGATTTTTTTTTCTTTTACTCATTTATATATATATATATATATATATATATATATAATATATATATATATATATAAAGTGCAGAAACTTACAATCTAGACAATCTAAAAAATACATTTTCCTTTTGCACAATACATTTAATATACATACACTAACAACTATTTATACATTAAACACAGCAAGTTTAACAAGCTGCCCTAGCTTGACATCATTTGTAATTATTTGTTTGCAAAGAAACGATAATTACTTAAGAATCACATATTTACTAAACCATTATATATATATTTCATGAGAACATTTATATAAGTAAGTATAAACCTTTATGAGTGATTGTTTTGATTTAATGTAGGAATTGTGTTATCTGTGTCTGTAGACCTTCGTATGAACATAGTTATGTGAGGTGCATTACATTAAAGAAAATACCCATCTAAACTTTTCCTAAAATACTAACGTAAAACAATGAAGATATACATTTTTTTGCTTTCTAATAGCCAAGTAGAAGAGAAGAGGAGCACAAAGCGTAACACCTACCATGCATAAAGACGGCGGTGAAGGAACGAAGGAAAAGCAAATCTATTTTACATTGAATACACCATGTATCTTTTCAAAAACAGAATATTCAAGAATATCATTTTTCAATGTGGGGTAATAGCTGCTTGATCCAAGGATAAATCTGACTGCCATTCTGGGGTCAAGAAGGAATTTTTTTCTCCTAAATTGTTGCAAAATTGGAAGTGCTTCAAACTGTTTTTTTTTTTTTTACCTTCTTTTGGATCAACAGCAAAAAACAAATGTGAGGAAGGCTGAACTTGATGGACGCAAGTCTCTTCAGCTATTTAACTATGATATATGGTGCATTCAATATATATATATTTAAGCAATTTAAGGTGATTTAATGCATCATAACAGGTTCACCTTAAATATTTGGGTACCTGCATTCACCTGTCAATCAAACGGATTGAGGTAAAAGGACGAGCAGTAAAACACTTGTAAATGCTTTTTTTCTGCTCACCATTACGGTGCTCTCTTTTCAAAACTTCCCTGAGGAATATAGGAATGGAGTAACACATTTCACTCTGATCCAATAACAATGCGCAGGCACTGTAGCCATCATGCTAGTGTCATGGAAGAGGAATATCTTGCTTGAAGATGTGTGTTACATTACTGTAACCCCTATGAATCTGCAGTGATGGTGGCACTGTATATAGCATATATTTATGGCTCTAGGAGCAGTTATAGAATCAGGTTAACCTGTTTTTACAGACTCACTATAATGAGATCACCATTAACACATATGCACTACCAACTCTTTTATTGCTAGAATACCTATTTTTTTTAAATATTAATTTTGTTTATTAAAAGGCAAAAGAGACACATTTATTTTGTGCACACATAATTGGCTATATATGTCTTGATAATGTAAGAGACAATATATTTAACTTCTTTATCGTAGAATATAGGGCTGTTAAGGTACTTTATCAAATTCCATGCAAAGTAGGATAATGCACAAATGATTAGCAATGGAAGCTGTTTGTTTATTTTTGTTTTTTTTTAATTTACCAGCTTATATTACCAGTTTAAAATAATATTTAAAAAATTACTAATAATAAAACTACTAAAATTCGAGAAAAAGAAACTCAAACCATTCACATTAATAAACTGAAGATGAACAATATAAATTCAACATTTAATTTTTTTCACAGCACATACCTCTGGGTTAGAAGTCTTTTTAAATATTGAATAAACATATATCTGATTTACTTTACTGTTATAGCCTATAGCTCTCAACTGTATACATTCACCATGGTCCATAATATAGTTTATTAACTTTGCTTCACCTGTAATAAAATGTGAGATATTACTTTGGAAAACATTTTTTCTGTTTTGTTCCAATTCCGAATCCTCAAATTGCTCCTAGGAATCACTAAATCTTAAAGCTTAAAGGGACACTAGAGTCACCAAAACAACTTCAGTTTTATGAAAGTTTTGGTGTATAACTCATGCCTCTGAGGTTTCACTGCTCAGTTCAATGCCATTTAAGAGGTAAATCACTTTTAAAGGACCACTATAGTGCCAGGAAAACATACTCATTTTCCTGGCACTATAGTGCCCTGAGGGTGCCCCCACCCAGGGCTGCCATCAGAAATGTTGGGGCCCCTGACACAGCTCAAGGTCTTGGCCCCCCGGTGCCTGCACCCGAGTCCGCCCAAAGTGCTGCCCCCCCCCGAATCCGCCCACAGGGATGCAGTGTCTGCAGGACCGGTGCAAGGATTTTTGCCGCCCTAGGCAAAAGTAAAGTTTGCCGCCCCCCATGTGACATCACAATGCCCCACCCATATGATCTGCCATGTTAACTAACACCAGTGCTGCGGTGTTTGCATTAAAAGGCCTGCAGGGACAGGCTAGACACCAGAACCACTACATTAAGCTGCAGTGGTTCTGGGGACTATAGTGTCCCTTTAATGTGAGGTAAATTAGAGATTAGTGCCATGAATAATATACTAGATTGCCTACTTACAACCAGATGAGGATGATGATGGGCTCTAGCTGCCGTCTGGCTCCACTGGTCTGGTGTACAACAGGCTCTCTGGAGGCGGTTTGTAACTGTGGTCACAAAAATCACTGTTCTGGGAGAACGGGAAGCAGCTCCATTTTTTTGAGGGCCCTTTACACAGCTCAAAGTCTGGGTCCCAGGGTCCACCTTCATGTTTCACCAATGAGTTTGTTCACAGGGAGTGGAGTGTGTGTGTGGGGGATGTCCTGATGTGTGTAAGGAATGCATTGTGTGAATCTGTGTTTGTATGTGTAAGGGCTGCAAGATGAGTTTGTGTATGTATGGGATGCAGTGTGTGCGTCTGTAAGGGATGCATTGAGTGTTGCTGTGTGTTAAGGGATGCATTGCTTGTGTACGTGTGTCTGTGTGTAATGCATTGTGTGTTTTTCTGTGTGCAAGGTGTGCATTGTGTGTGATGGATGTCAATCTCTCCCCCTCCCCCCGTCAATTTCCTTCTCCCCTCCCTCCCTCTCTCCAATTTCCTTCTTCTCCCCCTCCCTCTCCAATTTCCTTCTTCCCCCCTCCAATTTCCTTCTTCTCCCCCTCCCTCTCTCCAATTTCCTTCTTCCCCCTCCAATTTCCTTCTTCTCCCTCTCATTTCCTTCTCTCCCCCGTCCCTCAAATTTCCTTCCCCTCCTCCCGTCCCTCAAATTTCCTTCCTCTCCCCGTCCCTCAAATTTCCTTCCTCTCCCCCGTCCCTCAAATTTCCTTCCTCTCTCCCTCCCTCAAATTTCCTTCCTCTCC